TTCCCGATGCTTTCATTATCAAAGTCTATATTTTATTTATCTTACTTTTCTCCAGACGAAAAACCAAGTTAAATAAGGATAAATTCAATAAATTATACGACCCTATTTTTTGCAGCCGATATAACCATTAATATTTCAAGAGGATGGCTCTGATGAACCGAATACGTAAACGTTATTATATTATTCAAGTCTAATTTAGATCCTAAATTATCTTAAACGTCTGAAATTTAAATCTCGATTTTTATGACAAACGAGGAAAGAATTCAGGCATAATTACCCGACTTTTAAAGAAGTTTTTCCAGAGAAGAAATGAATATTCAGCGTTTTTATTTTAAAATAATTAAGAGCCAGTGAATAAATGTACATAATCGGATAAATTAGGGGGTTTGTTAAGCGTCTCAAGTATCGGTGATATTTATGTAAGGTATTAAATGTGTATTTAAATTATTAACTCGATTAATTTTATGGCTTTGTATTCTATAGAATTGACTTTGAGTTGACGGCAAACCCTTCCTAAATTAAGTCTGTCCCCATCGCTGTCAACTTGATTAATCACTTTGTCATGAGAGTGGAGGCGCATTTCTATTAGATACCTTAAAAAAAATTCTCTTCGGTTAGTAATTATTAAGTATATAAGAATATATTTAAAAAAGTACTTGTCAGTGTCATACCTACTTCAAGATAAAGTAATGTCATAAGAATGCATCTTGCTTGTGTAAAAAAATATAAATTATTTAATTAATTTGGCACCTAAAAACCGATTATAAAAAAGAAATGTTGGCATATAGATGTTTATACACGGTGTTTAAGAATAAAGTTTTTCCAAGAAAATCATGTTTTAAAGCTATTCGTTTTGAAATTATGTACAGACATTAAGCAAATATTTTAAACCAAATGTCTATGGCAAAAGACTATTAAAGATATGATTTACATTATTAAAACTAACCATAAATATTTTTATATTATATTAATTATTAAATAATATTTGTAATGATGGATTCAAATACAGGGTGATTCAGTTATAATGTCATTAACTTTAAGGGAAGATAGGGAAAAATGAGTAAAACCCGGGTACACGATTAAAAAGAAAATTAAAATGCATATTTACGCTGAAATAAAATATTTTCAAGTCATTATTTAAACCCCTTTTCAGACCGCTCCTGACCGCTCCTGACAGCTGACCTACATCGAGAGTGAATCTTGACCTACCCTACTATTCGGTCACTAACCTAACTCTAATATTCTTACGTTTTCACTGTATTATAATTGAATATAAGTTCTTAGTATTACAAATCTTCAACTAGGTAATTATTTAGTTTATAGTACGTATACCTTATTGTGTGACTTACTACTTTTCAGATCTGTATTAATACTTACTTAAAATGACAAATACGGCTAAAAAAACTCACTCATCCATCCATACAATCTTAATAAAGTTGAGATCCGTTACACTTCGATTTTGAAAATAATTGCAAAACTGGACGAGACGACTTTCTAGGAAATTAGCTGTTTCGCTACAAGTTCGAGAATTTTTTTTTTCGATTTTCTGTCTTTATTGGGCCTTCCGAATACGTAATTAAAATTAATGGCATTGAGTCACCCTGTTTATTCATTAGTATATTTTATTATATCGTTTGGGCTATTTCTATTAAAATTAGATTGAAATTTTATTATACTCTCTGCTAAAATAATGAAAGTATAATTGTCCTTTAGTAAAGTACATTTATAGATTTAAGAGAATACTTAGTTATCACCTCTTTCTGGGAACCAATTTCCAAGTAAAATGTTTATGATATGATAACATACAGGGTGTTTTAGGATCAATTCGACAAACTTTGAGGACATGATCCTCTGGTGAAAGTAAATAAATAAATTTATATAAAAATAGAACCGAAAACTCTTCGTTTTTGGAGATACAGGGTGTTAAAGATTTCAAAGAAATTAATATTTTTTAATACCTTAAAAGCGAATAGAGATATTCAAGTAAAACTTGGTGTAACTGATGATTATATAGTTTATTGCTTGCTATATGTCTAAGTAGTAACTATTACTAGCCACCAGTGGAGGAAATACGGGTAGGAGGTCCAATTAATTCGGCAAATAAAATAGTACAGTCCTGTAAAAAATGGTGGTATTGAATGTAATTGCCTTTTGTGTTTTCTCATATTTACTTTCATAGCAAATTCAGTTTATTCAAGTAATTTTAATGGTTATTAGTTAAGGACATCAATCTCAATAATATATACATATAATCCCTCAATAATATTTATGTCATCCTTGTTGCGTTTATCATTTTACATAATTATAATGACGTCAGTATTTTCAAATGTTAAATTTTTATTTGTAATCTTTAACGCCCTCGAAAAACATTATTATTATTATTATTATTATTATTATTATATGAACAGATTTTTGTAAGAATTCGTATCCAATATAACCATCACCTTATATTACTATTACTTATTATTACTACATATTACTTTTTGTGAAAATAGTTGTTATGATCTGCGACTCAAAATAATATTAATTTTGTAATTCAATCCGATCGTACCAAACCTGCGCCCAACGTCCGCAACCGAAACATTTGTTGTAGTTTGAAAGTTTGCACTTCCTTCCGATTCTTTAAACAATTCCAATGTTAAAGAATTTTATTCTAATTCAGTTAAATGCCAATTTTCCATCGATGAGTTAAAAAATCTTACCCTTGGCACCTTTTTTTATTAATGCTGGTTTTTGATGCAGCCTGTGAATTTGAGAGACCATTATGTATTCTCATATCCGCTGAATTCTTTTCTATTAATAAAATGGTCGGACGTTTGTAAGTAACTTTGCATATTATACAGAGAGATCCAGAATGACTGATGTGCCGCTACTTACAAATATTTTGTGTGCCGCTCTTCTATTATTTCACTCTCCGTAGCTCGCCGCCACCACTCCATGGCTAGAAATTGACCTCAATGATTTGGGATCGAGGAGGATTATCCCTCTTTATCCTGCCTCATCTCGTGTAGGCCTGGACAGCCTTCGTAGGTGGGCCCCATCCGTCGTCTACCCCGACCGCAAATGCGACCGGTGTAGGCGCTTTGTGGGACCTCCTTTTGTCCTGGCTGGGCCCCGCCGGCTAGGGCCCTTTCTTCTGGCGCTCTTCTTGCTTCGCCGGCTCGTCTGTGTAAACCCCGGGGGTAGTGTCATGTTTATGTGTGGTATGGTTGGGTAGGGTAGTGCGGCTATGCAGCCTGGGATGCGCTTTGCTAAGGTGGCCCTTAG